TAGCTAGCTACCGATTCAAGAACAGTCAAGCAACGGACCAGCTGATGATAACAGCAGCACACTACCACCGGGTGGAAGTGCGCCGAAACGACCAGCGAGAAAGAAGGATCAGCTGATTCACCAGACTGGAATTCCTCGCACCGTGAAACGAGTCTTCAGTGCCAGTGTCATCGTCATATGCTCGCTCGCTCTCAATCGAACACACAGACACTCTCAACTGACAGCAGCGGAGCGCACCACAGTTTGCGTGCCTGGTTGCTCTCGACGTGTGGTACGCTTTAGCACCACATTTGCATCGAACGTCGTTACGTCCGCATCTGGACAGCTGACGAGACGACTGGGTTTCGAGTTTGGCAGGTTGGGAAGTCAAACGCCATTTACTCGTGCCCGAATCCTCGGAATCTGCAGTGGAGCCTCCTCCCTGATGATTCAGTTCCTCAGAAAGAACGTGGAATGCAGGCTTTTCTTAGCTGATGTCATAGTGTCCCTTAGAAAATACCATCTCGGAAACTGATGAGCGATAAGACGGGTTCTCATTTCTGAAACCGATTTTCATGTGGCTCCGTCACCGCAGAGGTCACGAATGCTTCGGGTATGACAGACTGTCTGATCATATGGTCATGTTCGCGGAGTGTCACGTGCGCGAATCCGGTTCGCGCCCTCTCACTTCATTCAGCGAGAGGCGCCCCCGATGCTATGGACCCGCACTGATTGTCAGGGGATATCCTCTGCTTTGACCAGGGACTTCTACCATTTTCCGGCAAACCCGAATCATCGGCCTCCGCGCGTTCCCCTGATGAGTTTCCGATGATTTCTCTCGACCTCTGAGGGATCAACCCGCTCAACGACTTGGGGTCCTAAGATTGACGGATCAGCTGCTCACAATAAAATAATCTTGAATGGGGGGACTAGTTATCGCCTAGGAGGTACTTCTATGAGCGAATCTGGAGACTGGTGGAGTTTCCATCAAGATGAAGGTCGGATCGAATCTCCTGAAAAGTGGGAAGCTGATAAGAGATTGATTTTTGAGTTTTGAGCTGTCCCGCAGACTTGTGACCGCTTTCACCGCAACAGACTGGGTGACAGAGAAATCGCTCACTCGGGAGGAATCCAATATCAGCTGACGACGAGGAGAAGACAGACGACTTGGCGTGCATACCCGCTGAAGCTAAAATCCGGAATCCACAATACTCGGACAGAATGCCTCCGCAGCTCGTCTCGCTATTCGTCGGTCGTTCAATTTCCCGTGCGCAGAGGTGCGGGCGGTTCCGCGCATTGGCTCAGTCACAATGCGAGAGCTCCAATTCATTCCATTTAGCCACATCTGAAATCATGATCGGTGAAACGCCCTCTTTTCCCTCGAAGCGTCGTGTACTGAACATCCATTCGGAGTTAGCCGAAACTCCTAGCGGGTCCGGGTGCTTTCGCGGGCCACCGTTCGAATGTCTGCCATGGCCGCCTGACCGTCCTTCTTCGTCATCGCAGGGATCCGCCATCCCGTTTTTTCACGGTCAGCAGCAGCCGCTCGAAAAAACCCACGACAACAAAAACAAGACGGCGCCGCGCCTAAACAATCCGCGAACGCTCCACATTTGAGCTGATGAGCAGTCAATCCTACATCAGTGAAATTGGGGAAAATCGCGGGAGTCCAAAGGCCGCGGAGAATCCGCGAAGCACAGGACTCCTAGGCAGCGCACGCCGTGAGAAGGGCCAGGAGACCTGGCAGTCATGAGCCTTCCCCATACCATCTCCCATTGGGGGCTCTTCCTGGAGACTTTCTCCGACTCCGCGACTAAGCATTTTAGCGTATCCTTCCTCCAGGACCCATATCTGGAAGCTCGATAACGATCGACAAATAGCCGAGTCAAGAGACAAATGGTCTGAGCAGTGTGCAGGTCCACTGCAGATTTGCACTGAGCTCTTTCACTCCGAGTCAACCTTGCGCTTTCCCGATCGCTGATTCCGGCTGTCGACTACTTCGAGGACTTCTGTGCGATATCCAACGGTGTTCCGGGGCTGAGGATCCGGATGGTGGGAGAGACTGTGATGAGGAGAGATCGCAATCCGTCAGAGAGCCCCCTCTCTATGATCTTGCCGGAGCGCATGCCGGACCCTCGGTCTCCCTGTTAATTGCGGCCGTCCGTCACAGTAAAGCCCCGAGGAATCCAAACAGCCCGAAATCCTGCCTGGGGCTCCGGGGAAAGACGATGGGAGTGCCCGCGACCGCTCCAACTCTCGGCGATGATCATCAGCATCATTATCTCTGCTCCTTCTCCCCAACCGGGACTCCTTCCGTTTGGAATTTTTCAGTCATATGAACGGGTATGGGAATAGCATGCGTGGAACTGTAGGTCACGTAGCAATGAGCTCAGAATAATGAGTTCATGCACGTCGGGAATGGAAGACTTGTGTCATGTTAAGCTTGGGGACGTCTGCTAGCGATGTAAGCATAGAAGCAGAGGATGGAAGAAGAGGAAGAAGAAACAGTCGTCAGTGTGTTGGTTTCCATGTCTGTAGTTGTCGGAGAGCACTCAGAGCGGCGGCAGGTTTTGCGTTGAGCATTCACCGAAGTCGAATTTGTGATCTTTATTGTAGAAAATTGCCGCTGTCGAAAGCTAATCGTGGCTGTGGCAACTGAAGCGCTCGTGGGAGCTTCGTCGAAGATGCTCCCACCGCCGACAGAGTGAGTTTTTCTTCGAGCCGACCCAATCAGCTGATTGAGCTGGAACTAGGCTTATAAACAACTTCCATTGGCTTTCCGCGCGTCATTCTGCCCCTTGTCTCATTGAAATTCGCTGTAATAAGAAATCTGATGACACACACGAATTTACTGTTCGTAATCAGGCTGATTTGGGCATCACCTTCGGTTCTGATTCGTCACGATCCCGTGTCAGAGCTGCTTGCAGCGGAATAGGATGAGGGAAAGTTTAGTCATACGTGAGCGATCGAATGATCTGCGAACTCGCTTGCACGCGACTTCTGATGAGCTTTGCTTAAATATGATACAAGATACATTAAGAGGGTTTACTTTGTTTCATCTGAACTCGGGAGCTGCCTCTTAACCGCAACTTCCCATGTTGTAGCCGATGGAGACTCGGCGACAAAACACAAGCCCGGTCGCTATCAGCTCCGACGATTTGTCAACACAGAATCGGTCGTCCTTTATTCCTAGGGAGAGACCAAGCTCGCGACGCTCAAACCTTTCCCGCTGAGTGTCCGCAAGTTTTGTGTCTGTTCCTCTGAGCAATCAGCGTGAAGTAGTCTGTGATCAGCCGGGCAAATCGAATCCTGTCAACTTGCATTCGTATCTTGGAGTCGGCGGCTGAAAATGTCCGAGTCGGGAATGCCCTCGAGGGGTCTTGGGGAGCCGCAAAACGAGAAGCTCTCAGATCGAGTTTCCTCTTCCAGTGGGTGCATCGAAGCTTCCGATACAGTGTCTGACTTGGAGATCAAAACGTGGCATGAAACTCCTGCTCAAGAGATCGAGCAGCGAGAATTCCAGCAAGATGAACCTAATCATACGAGTCCGCCATTCGACGTGTCGTCAGCGGTGAACAAGAAGCTAGCGGTGCACCAGGGAGATTTCACAAAACTCATGGTCGATGCTCTCGTTAATCCTACCAATGAGCATTTGAACGATAAAAACCTCTTTTCTCGCACGTTGATCGAACGCGCGGGTCCCCAGCTCAAGAAGGACCTGCACACGGAGATTAAATGTGAGTGGGAAGTCATTAGCGGTGACGCTCGCAAACCTCCAGGAGAATTCAGTTCTCTCGGCAGAAAATTTCGATTTTCGATATCCAGCTGGAAACGAGATGTGTATGGCCTATCAGAGAAATGAGGTTGTTCATGGACTCTCATTAAGCTGGATCCTACATTACAGCTTGCCGTACCGGGGAGGCGAGAATCACAGGTGGATACGACCTCTTGTGCCGACACATCATCCACACAGTAGGACCGAGGTATCAACAGAAGTATTTATCTGCTTCGGAAAGCGCACTCCACTCCTCTTACCGTAGCTGTTTGACGCTGATGAAAGAGCACAAAATCCGAACCCTAGCCATCCCTCCGCTTCACTCATCGAGACGCGGTTTCCCCCCGATCGAGGGCGCTCATCTAGCTCTGCGTGAGTATGACTCGATGCTCAGAGCGAAATATTCGGAAGTCGGAATTAAGTTATATCCATGCTTTCCGCTCTAAGTATTACATCCTTCCGAGTCGTAAACTGCTGATCCAACGGATTCCTTCCGATATAGGCACGATACGTCGCTTTCTGGAAGAGTTCGCCCACGATGAGTGCATACAGCGAATCATCCTCCTCCTGGACAAGGTCGATTTGGAAATCTACCTATTGTTACTACCGTTGTATTTCCCCCGAACCAAAGCCGAACAGATACGTGGCTCGCATGGACTACCCAAAGACTTGGGCGGGAAGTATGGTGAACCGGTGATCCCGGAACGACAAATCCGGATCCAAGACAAACCATTCTTTCGCTCGACAGGTCAGGAGAAGCCCCTCAAGGTCGCTTTCATTCGCGATGATTCTCGGAGGGAACTGTTCATTGAAGAGCGCCCTATCTTCCAGAGAACGAGACCGATTTCTCAGAATTGGATATGTCGGTGTGCGTTGGAAAATCGTCCTTCGCTCGTATGCAGAACGACGTCGATCAGGTCAGAAAGAGCGGCCGTCAGAGAGACTCAACCGATACGCTGACGAGCGAGATTTCGCGCAAGAATCGATATGATCGGCTCCTCCGCAAAGCCAAAGTGATGGATTTCCGGGAGATCAGAGAAGCCAATATCATCTACAAGTCCGGGCTGGACAAGCAGGGTCGCAGCGTCTTTGTTTTCGTCGGGAAGAATTACTCCCCAAGTGAAGTGAGTCCCGAATATCTTCCAAGGTTCGATTGTGATCGGGTATCGAAAATTCTGAAATCCATCGTGAATTTTCGCGTTTGCAGACGTTATTCGAAGTCCTCTGCTGCTACATCATTCGGATGATGGACAAAGAAGTAGCTTCTCCGTTCGTCATTGTGTATCTGCATTCCATGACTTCCAACAAGAATCATGTGACATACAGCATACTCCGAGAGCTTTACCAGACGCTGGATTATCGATACAAGAAGAACCTACACTCACTATATATCGTACATCCCACCTTGTGGAGCAGGGTGAGACATCTCGATACGGGAGTATAGGTGGTACCCGTTCCCTGGGCTTTCGCATCGGCCAAATCCTGATTAGGTCATCAATTGCAGCTCAGTATGTGGTGGTTTACGACAATCACAACATCGGGTCTCACCGGCAAGATCCGACTGACGAGCGGAATCGAATATTTGTACATGAACATAGCTCCGGATCAGCTGAATCTTCCACAGTTCGTCTTGGACTACGATTACTCCGTGAGTCGAGGAAGGCCAATCAGATATTATATTGAAGGGTCCTTCATGACGAATGACTCCATAAGGCCCCATCACTACCGGAAGATTCTCGGCTAGGTTTAAGGTATTCTAATCTCTCTACTCTAGATTAACGGAGCGAGATACTGTGACACCAGCGCGCCAAATGAAAATGCTGGATTGTGAATCTAGGCTGTACATCCGAAAACAGCTTTGCCTGTACCACGGCAGAGCATCTGTAGAGGCTGTTCAAATCGATACGGATTCGAATAGCAGACATGGAGAAGTATTTGACTTGACCGAGAGTAACGCACGGTCCTGCTAGAGGAGACTTTTTTTACTAAATAAGAGGCCGGGGCAAGGTGTACCGGGCTGCTGTAACGGTCAGATGGAATCGTATCGCTCGCGAATGAACACGAAAAATAAACAGAGTATATTCTATCTCATACTTCTGTAAGAGCCTCCCTGCCGACCTCTATCGATAATGATTGGATCGATGAACAAAATGAAATGGACGATATTAAATAAATGCCGAGGGGGGTGTGATCCCCTTCGCGAGACAAAGGGGAACATTGAGAAGTGATAGAACGCGAGGGAAACAAGGATGAGAGCCCAGTGTGCTCTTCAATGCATTGATCCCATGTTTCGTGGAGAATTCATGTCTGGATTGGGACGACGCATCGAGGCGTTGATTCGGGGTGACTCGTCAACTTCCTTCGCTGCCAGAAATCGGCCACGTTCAACTTCGCCCAAGGGGGAGGCTTTTACTACATTGGACAACACTGAGCGTCGATCGATGGGCGTGTGAGAGCGATATGGATCAACCCGACTCGGTCGGACCCAGTGACTGCCTGACCTTCCGGCTCACTCCCTGATATTCCGGCTTGTCTGGGATCATAATATGAGCAGGGGTCCACTAGGTCCACAAATCCTCATTCACGGTTCCTTGGGTCGGGAAAGTCCAGCCCGGAAAAATTCCCTTCTCCAGGTCTCTGGGGGAGATCATCCTCGAGCCCGTGCATCGTCATTCGAATACATCCTACCAGCTCTAATCGTCTGTGTCCCGAAGTGTCAAAGAAGTTCGTGACATTTAAACGCAGCCCGCCCCGTAGTGTCGTCAGCTTCGTTGCCTTCCCTCGTGGATCCTCTCTCACGAGTTTCTCTTTCCACTTTGTGGCATGGTCGTTTCCTCAGCATAGGAGCAGCGGGAGAGGGTAAGAAGTTGCTCCGAGCAGCAGCAGCAGCAGGCGGCCGTCGCGACTCTCTGAAAACGAACACAACAATAACGACGACTAGACGACGGACGAGATCCCCGAAACTCTGAAGGATATTATGTGCTATCAGAAGCGACCCTATGACAGAAGTGCATAAATTCTTCGATTTCACACAGTGCTCGATGTTCAGCTTCGAATATGTACGAGTCCATGATCAAATGCCGCGGGAAACCGATTCTCCCGCCTGTAGTAAGTGTTCGATTTCTGTGCACTCGTCGCTTATCTGTTGCGGTCGGAATTTTCCGCAACCAATTTGCTATCGGACTCTGGGAGCTCGCCTATTGGGATTGGAAAAAGATATTCCCAACCGTGGCGAACTTCTTACATTGACTGCGTTCTCTCTTTTCGCATAATTCGATATCCAAAGCAAGATAGAGTCGAGCATCTCCCTACCGCCGAGCATCCTCGGATCAATTGAGACTATTGCGCAGTAAATCCTCCTCAGTTCTACATGTTCCGCTCAGTTCTCGAAATCAATCTGTCGTGAGATCAATCATTATTGCTCCATGTCCCCGATGCTTCCACAGATGACTCACGAACGCAGGACAGAAGCGCGGCACTATCGGAATGAAGCCGTCCGAAGACAACAGCTGCGGGGAGTGAGTATTCGTCTTTGTCTTCCTCCAATCATGATCCTCAGGACACTCTCTTGTTTCCTCTTGCTTAATATAGTGAGCTCCGTGGGAGAGTAGTCGTCCTTGTGAACATTTTCTTCAATCTCTGCGGGGCATCACTTGCTTCTGCTATTTATCGCGATACGTGGCCGACCGCGCGCGCCATTGTGTAGAGTTGGCGAATCATCGAATACAGACTCACTCGGAACGACGCGCTAGAACTGAAAGGGGCAGGCATTATTGGGGCACAGCGTGATACTTTTATGGACAGTGAGAGAGCGATCATTAGTAGCGGTGCAGAAGAGCTCTCCCCCACGGAGAGCTCTCTCATCTGGATGCCAACGGGGGACTCTTATCGCGGGTCCGAGGCCGAAGCTGGAATGGAGGCGATCGTTTCCCACATCTCGACCCAATCCTAATTCGATCCGTCAACAACATTAACCACGACCAGGATCTAAGAGGATCCTGCGAGCAATTAACCAATGATGAGACTTCGGATGTGAGTGGCGACAGCTGAAGCCGCGGTGGCGGCGAATTCGGCTCGACTGGCAGATGCTCCGTGGCAGACGTCATGTTGACCGAGTCCGGAGATAATGATGCGAGAGAAAACGCTTCCAGGGTGTTTTCCCGATGACCGCGATCCGATTCCGAGCGAGCCTCTCCGGCTCGGTGATGTCATCCAATATTCTATTCCCGGAGACGTCATTGACGGGCCTCCAAACATATCGAATGGCCTTGATCGCATCATGTCCCTCCCAGAGCCTCGACGATCCCTTTTCCACTCTGTTTTCCGGGGGTTACGCCCATTTCCCGCCCTCTCCGAGTTCTTCGAGACGTCAGCCTACCTGAACAGCTCCTATTACCCCCTTTTTCCGCTAAGTTTTTCTGCTTTATACCTCTGTATTGCATCCGTCCTTCAGCTGTGATTATTTTCAGCCTCGAAGAGATTGGGGGTCCGCAATTCTGGGATGACGAATCGCCGGTGCTCTTGGGCTAACCCCCGTTTCCTCGAACGGATTGCTGTGAGGTTTTTCCCGATCTCCCTCCTCCCTTTCACCGATTGACGGAGTGCATTCTGTGCGGGAGATATTACGGAGGCGAACAGTTTATAGATCCACGAGGCCAACTCCCTAGTCGCGGAAAAGATTCCGAAGTTCCAGGGCCGCTGCTCACACAACGGGGGCTCCCGAAATCGAATCGAGAACACTGCGGTGCATTCATTCTGACCATGGAAGGTTCCGTGTGAGCAGAGAAGGAGATTGGGAGAGCTGAAGCGAGCTCGTTTGCGGCAAAGCCTGCGTTCCTCCCTCCCGTATTCAGTCCTTTGATACTTGTTCGGCGAGATCCCTTTTGGAACGGGCCCGTCTCGACTTGCGATAACGCAGGACGAATTCTGGACGATTTGAAGATCGAATTCAATGCAAATCACGATCCCTGTTCATTCGGTGCTCGATTTTTTCCGCCGATCCAATTTACTTGCTGTCTCCTGCTTTTCCATCCGATGCCTATTTCTGAAGCGTCTCCCAGAGGCTGGATTCTATCATCCGTATAACTTAATCGACCGCTTGTCCATGCTGGGGGTCTTTCTCCACAGACTACAACTCTCAACGACATCCTCAAAGATCCTCAAATGTTCTGCTGGTTCTCCGCGGCGATCGGCTGCTAACCTACCGGAGAAGGAACATGGAACTCCTCCTTCTTTCCCCTGGCTCTCCCGTTGTCGGGTTGCGGAACTCTTGGTCAATATCCAGGAGCTGGCCGTGACGGCACTCCGCGCCCAGTAGAGCTATGCTGACATCATAGTGGAAAGGCTTTACATTCGCTCAACAGTAACGATAACTAAAGATACACGTTGATGTTACGGAAAGCATGCGTCTGAGCAGGCTTCGAAGTATATCTTGACTTCCCTGAGGCGATTGGGCATCGATTGGGAAAATTTGACATCTGTTCGGAGAAGGAGAGCGCTAAAAATTGTTTCGGTGGCAGAAAGATATTGCGATTACAATGCTTGTTACAATGATCAGTAAGATGATGAATGATAACTGTCGAGCGTCCACGCGGGAGGGAAGCGCAGCTCGATTCCATCGACAGCTTGGCTCTTTCGTCGACATTCTTCCAAAAAACACGTTTGCGTGCTCTCCTTTCCTCCTCTGGGCAAGGTCCATGCAAAGCGGTCGTCGAGTCGTGGGACTCAAGCGGCGTTCTGAGATCTCGTTCATCGAAAATCGATCGCTCATATAATATGTAGGTGGAGAATGTTCGGAGCGATATTTTTTTGTCCGCGGGAGAGAAGAATTGACTCTCTGTTTTTACAGCGACGACAGGAAGACGGGACGATCGTCGATGAAGGCGAGGGCTCCCCCGAGAAAAAATTGATCCGATGGGGGAGCGAGGCAGAGCCGACGGAGCCGCGAACCCGGGAAAACGGAATATCGCCATCACGGATTCCACGCTCCGCCTCACTCCAAGCCAACCTCCACCTCAGTAGGCCTTCTTCCCAGATCAAGAGTCGGCTACTCGTTGACAAGGACCCCTCGTCGGCTAGAGCTCTACGGCACGAGGGTGCGTTCTAGCGTTTGCATGGCCCGCACGGTACGCTGTTTGCACTGGTACAGGATAGGACTCTCGTCATACACCTCAAACTCTCTGCTCACGTCCGACCAATCGTCTGACATGTCGCTCGTATTCATGCATTATCTGCTGACGAATTGATCGCCCCGGACTAGAAAGTCGAGAGCGAAACTCTAAACCCTATAACTTCTGTGCAGGGCCGCCCGTAGCTCCGAGGAAATCTCGATCGAGACGACAGCCGTCCTTAGAAGCTAGTTTCGTAGAGCAAGAATCCCGCCAAAGTCCTACGAAACTTGAAAGAGGAGGAACTTACATTGTGTCCTCCGATGCTCTCGAAGAAAAACCTCACGCCGCTGACCTGGAAGAAATGGCAGGACGCATGCGGACAGAAATGTGCCTCGACGATGACCACGCGCCGGAGGTCAGAGAATCAGACAGTCCGAGTTACGAGTCTGCGACGGAAGAAGATTTCTCGCTCAATCAGAGGTGCATACGATTGTTTCCTCGTTTCATTGCCGTGAGGGCGAAATCCTCGACTTGCTCGTGCTCGGTCGCCTGCAAGTAGTTTTCCACCTAATTTCTGGCGTCGAATACAGCGGCGGATTCAGAGAGGGGGCCCTTCTTTGGCCAGTCCGTCTTCCTGGATTTCTCTTCTTAGGAAGGCACAGGATTGGGGAATCGATATTCCCTAACCCCCAAGACATCAACCGCGCCCAGAGAAATGACCTGAATCCGCTGCTGGTCGAACGGTAGCTCTCCCCTTATGCGGGGATCCAGCGAGCTCCGGAGCTTCCTGTTATTGTCTGTCCCACGCTCCGCCGCCATTTCCTGATCTTTGGTCGTTGTCAGTTTATCAAGAGTATTGCAACATTTTACAGCGCTGATTTCAGCTACACGAGAGACGACACTACGTGTGTCTCCACGGTGGACGAAACCTCGACTGTATTGCCAGAATCGGAAACGGAAAGCGAGATACCCAGACGGCCTTCATCGCTCAGTATGCACACTCCCCTCGAGAGCCCAGAGAAAGACAGCGTTGTCGACGACCAAGGTCACGATGGTTGTGAATCGCGTAAATGTCTCGGAAGAAGACATACGTACCTCATTCTTCAAGCCAAACAGAAGACTCCTGTGAGTATGGCTCTTGGAAAGCCCCGAGGCTGCCGGCTCGAGTGACCGCGGAGGCGTACGCTGAAATTTTCTTTTGAGAGTCTTTCTGCATGACGACCCACAGAGTTCTTATCGAATTTTCTTTCTCGCTTCATGCAGACTCTTTCAATAGCTCCGACTCCGGAAGAAAGCCATTTACAAGATTTAGCCGACCGACTCCAAAGTTGCGCGCACCTCGTCAGTTCTCTGACACCGAAGAACAGTCCCATGACCAACAAGTCTTTAGCATCTCTCCACGAGAGCTTCCGACGTGCGACTTCATCGACTCAGTCTCATTGTGAAGATGAAAGCCGAGACTTAAATGCAAATCGCCCCGATCTAGGCAACTCTCGCAGGGAGGGGCGAAGACCCTGGTCGGACCGCAATGGCAATCGCGGTCTACAGGACGTCATGCGCCAGCAACTCGACCCGAGAACAGCCCGAGGCTTCGACAGGTTTACAGCACTTTGCAAAGGTCATCTCTGTCGGAGGCTGCTCGGCTGTAGCAGGGTACAAGGAATCATAGGAACCATAACCGTAAGTTCGTCTTTGTTCCCGGCACCGGAAACACCTACGCATCCGTATTACTAACCCCATCCCGGGAGCTCCTGATCGTTCCCCTTCACGTAATGATCCGTTACCACCTGCTAACCACGAAGCACATTCTCGTTGCACGCCATCTTTTCGTGGAACGCTCATAGGATTGTCGATCCAATTTGTTCTGAGTCAAGAGAAATTTCAAATGGTGATGCTCGTTTGTCCGGTCTGGATGCACATCAATCGTTACTAATCGATGTTTGTTGATGGGAATGGCAATGTCTGCAAAGTGAGTTCTTCGCCGTTTCCTCATTCGCTTCCAAGTCACCCGCATTGGCTTATCTCTTGGACCCCCATTTCGGAGGGATGTTAACCCGCTAGAAGTTGATATGTGCGTAGGTTAGGGGCTCTGGAGGTTCCGCGGGGATCTACTAGTGTCGTCGGGGGGCTGACAAGGCGCCGCGTTTTTCAGGACATGGTGCAGATGGCTTTCGAGTTGCATCAGCTGGAAGAGAGGAATAAACCCAACGATATGGACATAGAGCTCCACGAGAAAGTTTTGCTCACATTGGATGATTCCTGCCAAGAGTTGTATCGGATTTTCTTTGAAGCTGCTCCGTCGGAACGAATTCAATTGATTCGAGACTCGAATGCCAATCAGATGACAGTCGATAGAAGCGGGGCTCCGGTGAAGAGGTTGAGCTCGGCGACGCTCAAACGACGCATTCGACTTCAGAGGGACGCCGACCTGAAAAGGTTAGGATCTATCAATCCGAGTTCTGCTCTATGACGATCGATGAAGTCGTTCTTTCCCCGAATTTGTGTGCCTGACTTGGTGCTGAAAAGTGTCTCATCGTGACTTCTTCCAGGAATCCCCCGTCGCCGTTCCGCCGGACATGCTGCGGATCAAATCGCGAGCACTCTCATTGAATGGAACGGTCCGCTCATGAATCATTACCGAACAGTCCATACATCACTCCTGTCGCAGATATACTGCGCGGAACGCTATCCAGGGATGGATGATCTCATCGATGTATTCCATGCAATGCGGAATCAACTCAAATCTTATATCATGATAATAATGGCAATTATTATTGTTGTTGCGGGCCGAATAAATCATATGAGGTTAATTCCTGAGTCGTTCCTGGCCGTGGTCCCCCAAGGTGCTGTCCTAGTGTATCGTTAAACCCTTGCTCCGCGGCCGCGGGAGGAAACCATATTCGACTTCTATAGTTCCTGTTCATTAAACGCGCTCGAGTACATTACTCCGTTCATCGTTCCTGCTCAAGGTTTTCTTTTTCCTCCGCCGTTTTCCCCGATTCTCGCCGTTACCCACTCCTCCCCACCTGCCCCCATCGTCTCTGTTCCTACCCCCCGGCGGGATATTTCTTTCTCGCGTTTGCGTTCTCGAGTTTTTTCTCCATTCCGTAGTTTCCGTACCCCCTTCGTTCGTGTGGCGTCTTTGCGAATTTTTTAAAGCAGGGGTGAATGAATCCAATGCCTCCGTCCTCACCAGTTTCTAATACCTTCTTAAATCCCGCAGGAGATGGAAAAATCATTTGGAGATTTCTCTGATCGGAGATTGTCTCCGATCCTGGCATTATCATGTCTCGGCTACCCATATAATCCAGTACGGCGATCTTGATCAAATTTCCCTCGGTCGATGGAAAAGAGACGGGACTGGAGATGTAGACGGGCATGCTCTTCACTCGGAGTAGTTCCGGTCAGCATGATGTATATACACCAGGCTCGATTAAAGTGTCGGTCCCTCCGCAGGCTTCCGTTCGACCGAAGACGGATCCGCGAGACCGGACCGAGAAACCGCGAGAAGACTCCGATAAGTGAAGTTCTCAGAATTAGATCCTCCATCTCCGCACTCAGATCGGATCCGAGAGAAAATGGTAGTACATACAGTAGAAGCTCGTTACTACGAACACGAAGGGACCGACGAAACTGGTTCGTTGTACCGAGTTTTCGCTGTAACGAATGCCGCTCAACACTATCCCTATGGCGAACTGGCCAAAGGAGGAGAAATTCCTTGTTCGTTGTACCGAGAAATTCGTTGTGATGGGGGTCGTTATAACGAGCTTTTACTGTACCGAATATCGGTTCACTCAGCTCATGGAGTAAGAGTTGATGCCAGCTGATTTTCGAAACAGTTTCGTCTGCTTTATTCGATCGAATTCAAGGGATATTTCTTCAAGAACAGCGATGACTTCCGAATATGAGTGATTATGATCGGTGGAAGCGCTACCTGAGCTCAAGAACATCTTCGCGCGAGGCCAGAGGACATGAATTCTGGGAATTCGCTCAAAAGGATCAGTGTATCACACCCGCAATCTGAACGTCCTCTATGACGGGCTCCTTGACAACTGTAACTGCCGGGACGACAACCGGTGCGACCGGGACAGCCGGGACGACGGCTGGGGCCACGGGTATCACAGGAGCCGGTGCAACAGGAACAATGGGCAACACGGGAGCTGGCGCAGGGGCCACAGGTAAGACGGGCGCTGCCGCGACGGGGACCACAGGCACGACGACTGGAGCAGTCGGTGGAGGCGGAGGAGGAGGGGTCGTCGTGGGGAGCGGGGGTGGCAGAGGAGCGGCGGTCACTGGGGCTGGAGCCGCCACTGCGACCGGGACGGCGACTGGCACTGGGACAGATTGGTCTACAAGTTTGTTCTGGTTCTGAAGGATGATTGCACCGCCCTGAGCGCGTCCCGGTGGAGGCGTGGTCAAAGGAGCGGGCGTGGTGGTGGGAAGGAACGAAGCCGAGGTCATCGATCCGAGCATGCAGATCAACGCAAGGGTCCTCATTTTCCCGAGTTTCCGGAAGCTCTCGAGATGCCCGAGCAAATCACGCGAAGTGCCGCAACGACTCCGAACCGACAGTTTCGACTTACAGATCGAGAGTGCAACCTCTTGCCGATATTTTGCACTATTGGGGCGGAAAGTCAAGAAGCTTTGGGAGTAGGATAGGACTTGAAGTGCAGCGAGAACAGTGCATCAGCGAAACCTTGGGCAATGTTTCATACCGATCGGTCGGGCGAGAAGAAAGGGAGAGGATGGATCATTGACGACCAACCCAAGCACAAGCACCCTTAATTGGATTGAGCCCTCCGAGATCAAGCCGCGGTCCCCGCGGTGAATACCTGTGGCCGAAGGGGAGCTTCTGAATCTCAGCAGACTGGGGCAGACGGAGCCCCTTAGATGGCTCTCCGACATGCGGGAGATACTTTCGGGGTTTGATTCGGGTTCTGATCCGACAGGTGGGTTCCATGCGCGCTGATGATGAGCCCTCAGAATCTGTTCCGGAATTTCACCATGCGGTCGAGAGGGGTTCCATCCGCATTCTGCGCCTGAAACTGCCATGATGGTTCGAAGACGACGATCGAGTTTGGGTTCCGAAAGAATCTCTTCTAGGCGACAGTGGGTCCGGGACCCTCAGCGCCGAGATCATTAGGCGAGTTCGCTGGGAAACCATTGATTGGTGAAAGAAGTTCACGGATCGCAGCTAATTATTGGATTAGATTCGAGGAGCTCGAGGTGGGCCGGACGGTCAGGCTCGATCTCGAGCACCCACGTCGGCCCGTCCGAATGGGTGCTGGGAGATTCCGACTGTCATCGGAAAAGAAGGAGATCGGAAATGCTCGGAGACACATTTCACGAACGCTGATTTTGACTCTGTCCCTTCCGATCTCGAACCTCGAATACATCCGTATTGTCGTCGTGGGACTCCGCATAACGAAGAGAGTCCTTGTCGTAGATTCGACGTTCCAGTCCTTGGTTGTTTTCGGAAGTTCTCCTCTCTTTTGGAACGCTGAAGAACAGAAACCGGAACGAGACGCGGGGAAGATTGATCGTCTGCTTGTCCGCTACCCATCTGATGGAGAGTTTCTTCGTTCATCGATGGGACAGCGATGAGAGAATCGGCAATGAAATTTCCCATGCTGCGACGGAGGGTCACGCGCAGCATATGCGCGAGATCGACCGCAATTCCGAACACGAATGGTCAGGGAAGCCATCCACGCCCTAAACCACTTTTCGATCTTCACTGCGAATTGCAGAACACAGTCATCATTCCTCAGGTAACAAGATCCCATGGGGACAAGGCAGAGGCGGCGCCAGACTCATTTTTGCCACGCTGAAGAACGGACCTCGACACGGCTAGAGACGCCATCGGAATCGTCTCACAGAATACATGTGTGTCTGTTGTGAATCCTTACAATCGACCCCTCGTCATCAGTCCATAGGAGCCTTCGAATACCGCTCCTTGACTAGTCTAGAATGTGACATCGCGTTCCCCCGCGGGTCACGCTCGCGGAATATCTAGGTCTCTGGCTATCTCTCAGATTACCCCCACCATTGATAAAAATCGAGTGATCTGGAAACTCGGGGCGTCAGGCGTCCTGATTTCCAGTATCGGGACGCTAGAGCGGATTCAGCGCCCCTCAGACGCCCCTGCTGGAACGAGAGGAATAAGTTCTGGAGCTGTCGATGCCGACGAAAGGTCGTAGCAACTGAATCTTTGAGGGTTACGGTGGAGGGATAACGACCGTTACCGGCGACAGGCTTCCAGATAAGTCGACGACGTGTCGACTTCAATTCTCGATGAAGATTTCTTCGGTTTCTCTTTTCCGAGCTGTTGCCAAAGCGGACGTCTGCAAGGAGCCAGCGCCGGCGGACGCCGGAGAGCTCCGAGCACGCTATCGACGCGATGGTCTCCATTTCCCCCGGATACAAATGGTATAGAAACGATGAAGCAATATTCGCGAATCTGAAGGCTACCAAATGTTCTCGGTTTTGGTTGTACCGAGATTTCGGGTCGGAATGTGCAGACGGAAAACATTATATATTTCTGAGCCTGCCCCACTGAGGTTCAGTCTTTCGCTATGCCCAACGACAGCTTCTGCAGCAATTCTTCGAGCAACTCATCAAATTATTCAGATGGGACCAAGAAATAAAATAAGATTCCTATGGTATTGGGTTGCACATTCGTCATTTTATTCGTTCTGATTCTGGGAGAATGTTCTTGTTTAACAACCTTCACTCTGAACCTTGATGATCGGCCAATCTTCCCATGTCTTCATCTTCGGTGACTCCAGGACAACTCTGAAGATACGGAATACGGTTTGAAAAATCAATGGAGTACAGCCGCGATCTGGACGTCTTCTACGACGGGCTTCTCCACAACTGTGACTGCGGGGACTGCAACCGGCACCACCGGAAGAGCGGGAACGACTGCAGGGGCTGGAGCGACGGGGAGTACGGGAGCCGCTGCGACGGGGAGGACGGGAGCTGGTGCGACGGGAACCACGAGAGGTGGTGCGACGGGGACTACGGGAGCTACCGCGACAGGGACTACAGGAGCTGCCGCGACAGGGACGACGGCTGGAGTGATCGGTGGCGGCGGAGGAGGGGGCGTCGTCGTGGGCGGCGGAGGAAGAAGCGGTGCAGCCGCCGCTGCGACCGGGACGGCGACTGGCACTGGGACAGAATGGTCAACGAGTTTGTTCTGGTTCTGGAGGACGATAGCACCACCTTGAGCGCGTCTCGGTGGGGGGGTGGTCAAAGGTGCAGGGGTTGTGGTCGGTAAGAATGAAGCCGAAGCCATCGCTCCGAACATGCAGATGAATGCAATCGTCCTCATTTCTCCTGATTCCTTGAGTCTCCGCCGAGAAAAAATCGAAGGCTCAACTTGATGCTTCCCACCTCCTTCACTATCGAATGCAAGAGATCGAAAAGCTCCTGGACGAAGATAGGATCCAATAGGCAGAATGAACGATGCTTTGCCGAAGGTTTGGGCGATGTTATATACCGATGGTCCCGGAGAGTAGCAGGGGAGAGGGTGGATCTTCGACGACCTGACCATGACCCAATCGACCGGATTGTCTTCTTCGGGGTGCGCTCGGATGAATTCCTCCGGTCGAGGGGTTGAACTCATGCCGATGAGGTCTGCCTTGAAGGAGTCTTCGATTACCGCGAATATTCCAATAGAGGCGCAGTCTCCAATAAACGGGCAGGTTTCGGAGGATTGGTGAGAGAGAGGCGCAATGCGCAATGAGCAGGCATTTGAGGGAGAGGATCTTGGTATCCGAATGGCGAAGATCGCAAATCTCTTCCGGCGGGTGCTTCGCGTGAGTTTCTTGCATGCTCGCGGTGGATATTTCATCGATTCAATATAGTCTCCCAATAAGATCGACCAGAATCAATTCACTCGTTGAAGGACGGAGAAAAATCAGATGTGGATTCCGCGCTCGAGATCTTCTCCAACATTTATCTTGAAACATACGATTCATGTTTCCCGTTAGTTCGATTCACTTTTCGCTGTGATTGCTTTCCCTGGTTCAACGGCTCTCGAGAGCCTTACGTCAGCGCTCGCACGCCATCCGACGTCGCTTCTATACCGACACCGGACTTCTGACTTTCAGGCAGCCTTTGGTTGGATTCCGATTCTCGAGAGCGGCCCCTTCGAATCAACGTATTGCGGTGTAGAACTATCTCCCGCTCGACATCCGATCAGCCCCTAGCTTCCCCGCTTTCAAGCATCGCTTAAAAAACTATCTGCTATCAGCCTGGCTTATTATTATCACATGCGGCAGTAGCTTTTGGGGTGCGTCCCATATACATACAGCAATAAATCTCCCGTCTTCTTTGCGCAGGGCCAGCTCAGGGATGAAGGATTGTCCTATTTACATCCGAAGAAGTATCGCCGTCTCATCTCCCTTGCCCGCACGAAGTATGCGTCAAATCTTGTTCGGAGATTCGGTCGCTCCAGTAAAAAACTATGGCAATTCATCAATCTTGTTGTCCTGCCCATATATGTATAAGGGTAGGGTTGATCCTGGGAACTATCGCTCCATCGGCCTAACAGTTTCTCGAGCGCTGCGTCCTTGACCAGCTCGCATCACATCTATCTAATCTTGGATGGGTTTCGTAGCACCAACACGGTTTCCCCCCAGGCGATCTACGGAGACCACTTTCCTTGAAACTAAACAATTCGTTCATCAGTATTGGGACTCTGGTCATGGGTTCCTTGCTGTTTTCCTGGACCTATCGAAAGCTTTCGATTGCTCGGATCAGGGCATCCCTCTCTGCACGCTGAGCTTCCTTGGGCTCCATGCGAGCTCGGTGGGTTGGCTAGTCTCTCCGGTAGGCAACTGGCGGTTGCGCACGGAGACCTCATGCCGAACCAGTTCCCGACTAGCCGTGGTTTGTCGCAGGGCTCGGTTCTAGGCCCATCCCTTTTTATCTTTTATAACGATCCTCTCTTAATACCGGCAAATAATCTCCTCCGAGCTTAGGGTTGTGTCTTCCACGGACGACACACTCTGCCAGTCGATCTTCGTACAGCTCCCATTTTTCTGAAAGCCTACATTCATACTTGTTGTAAGCGGCCTAGTGCGGGCGGTTACCACCCTCATATATCATATTGAGAGAATCAATCTAATATATGAAGTAAAGTGTTTGTGGCTTTGTTTCTCCTCGATGCGCGTCCAAACCGCTGGACCGATTGTCTGGAAACTTGCGCAGCCTGAGAGTTACATCGAGGAGAAGACGGACATAGGCGTACCAAAAACCGCCAAGAAAGAAAGATGAAATTGATACTAAGCTTTTTCCGCATTTCGAACAAACATCATCCTTTTGCTCGGACGACGACATCAATTGTATGATGGTTGTATGATTTTCTCACCCTCTCCATTCACATATTTTTTCCTTTTTGGAAGTTTCATATTTGGCCGTTTCGAGCTTAGACCACAAAGAGACAACTCGATGGCGATTTCGTAGTCATTTAAATGCCCTCATCCACCTGCTTT